CAACCCCTTAGTCACATCCATCCTTAGTACTTAGTACAACATCCTTTGGCAGTTATAATGTGAAACATCACTTGACACAAGTTTGTTGCGGTGATCTACCGATATCTTAGCCCATTCCTTGTGGGCAAAAGCCTCCATTTTATTCACATTCGTGGACTTCTGTGCTGCAACTGCCTTCTTCAAGTCCCACCGGAGATTTTCAATTGGATTTAAGTTGGGTAATTGCAATGGTCACTCCAGAATGTTCCAGCCCTTCGTCTGCAGCCAAGCTCTAGTAGATTTGGAGGTATGCTCGGGATCGTTGTCCTGTTGGAAGGTTCAACTTGAAGACGGAAGCCTCAGGTTTGTGACTCACTGCATGACATTTACATCCAAGATCTCCTGGAAGTTAATAGAATTCATGGTACATTGTACACACTAGAGATTCCCTGTACCTGAAGAACCAAAAGAGCCCCAAAGCATCACTGACCCCCAACCATGCTTCACAGTAGGCAAGGTGCGCTTTCCTTCATAATCCTGGTTCATCCTTCTCCAGACATAATGTTGATCCATGGGCCCAAAGAGTTCCAATTTTGTTTCAGTACAGTATCCCAAAACCTTTGTGGTTTGTCCATGTGGTTTTTCACATACTGGAGTTGACTCTTCTTGTTCTTTGGAGTCAGCAAAAGTTGGCACCTGGGAGTTCTGGCATGGAGGCCTTCATCTCACAGTGTGAGTCTTATAGTCTGAGCTGAAACCTGAGTACTTCTATCGGACAAATCCTTTCGCAGTTCCTCAGCACTCACCCGGAGATTTTTCTTCACTCTTTGCTTCGCCACGCCCAGGTAGAATTTCCACTGTGCCTTCAGCTTTAAACTTGGGAATAATGCTTCCAATTGAATCAAATGTTTAATGTCTTTGCAATCTTTGTATATTCATATCCTTTCTTATGAAGAGAAATTACCTCCTCTCTTGACTTCTTTGACCATTCCCTGGACTTCACCATGTTGCAAAGATACAAGTAATTGTCCAGAAGGAGCCGAGTACCAAAAATCTCCTATATTGTTCATTATAGTTCTTTTCACATCTGCACGTATTCAAGACCTAATTGAAAGCTTTTGATTGAACCTCAGCTCTTAAGTGTGGTAATCTTTAAGGGGTTGAATAATTTTGGCAATGAAGAAATCACAAAAAGGACATTTGATACTGTATTAGACAAACTATTTCTGTCTTTTTAGTTGCGTTATAATTTAGTCCTTGTAAGATTTCATTATGAACACTATTACAAATATATATTGATTTCCCTAAAACCCTTTACAACATTGGGGGTTGAATAAGTTTGAACACAACTGTATGTATATACAGTGGGTACGGAAAGTATTCAGACCCCCTAAAATTGATCACTCTTTGTTATACTGCAGCCATTTGCTAAAATCATTTAAGTTCATTGTTTTTCCTCACTAATGTACACACAGCACCCTATGTTGACAGAAAAACACAGAATTGTTGACATTTTTGCAGATTTATTAAAAAAGAAAATATCACATTGTAGGTGCAATGGGTCGAGTGCTGCTTAGAAGCACTTGGTGTTATTAACCAGTCTCAAATCAATAACACGATCAGTCTCATTAAAGTTATCTTTAATTGTTATGTTATCCTAATAATATAGTAATAATGTATTACTTAAAGTATTACAAATATACTACAATCAATAGTATTTACAACCAATTAAATATCTGAAGGATTTTCTGGAGTTCTTGGCAAATTGGGTGGCTTCAATGAATAAAGTAACACAGACAAACACAGTTTACAAAAATAATCAAATTTATTAACACAACCCTACCATGTTAATGATAGTAGTTGATACATAAACTAAACAAGGCACAATAATGTGTGTGTGTGTGTGTAGGGACTGAGCCCTTGAGGCGTGTTCACATACGCGACTGCGCAGTGGAAGAAGAACTGCGAGGTAGAAGGGGACGGCAACTGCTCCATGTAGCCTCACTATTTCACTGTTCTCCCTTTCGTTTACACACATGTACTCTGTCTTGCTACGACTGACCTTCATTCCTCTTCTTTCTAGTGCAAACCTCCACCTCTCTAGGTTCTCTTCTAGCTGCTGCCTACTCTCACTACAGATCACAATGTCATCTGCAAACAACATAGTCCATGGGGACTAATGTCTGACCTCATCTGTCAATCTGTCCAATCCTTGATGTAGTCCCACCTCCACCTTGAAGTCTTCTATCCTTCCAACAGCAAAGCTCACTACTGTTGTACTATTCTCCTGCACCAATCTAACATACTTCTCTGCCACTCCTGACTTCCTCATACAAAACCACAATGCCTTTTCTAAATCTACAAATACACAATGTAGCTCCTTCTGACCTTCTCTGTACTTCTCCATCAACATCCTCAAGGCAAATATTGCATCTGTGGTACTCTTCCTAGGCATGAAACCATACTGTTGTTCACAAATCTCCACTTCCTGCCTCAACCTAGCTTCAACTACTCTTTTCCAAATCTTCATTGTATGGCTCATCAACTTTATCCCTCTGTAGTTGTTACAACTCTGTGCATCACCCTTCTTATAAATTGGCACCAG